CCCAAATCAATTAATTATTTGGCGGATGTTGGAATCTGCTTCTTTGCGGCATCCCGCCGGTTCGAGACGGCCGAAGGGGCCGCCGATATCGCTCCCAAGATGGTCCCGAAGGTCTCCAAGATGACCTCATGACGGCCCAAGAGGCCTCGAAGATGGCCAAAAGAGGGCCCCAAGACGGCCCAAGAGGCCTCCAAGACGCCCAAGGTGGCCTCCAAGACGGCCCTGGAGCACCCCAAGAGGGCCCCAAGTCGGTCCAGAGTGGCCCCCAAGACGGCTTCCGACGGCGTCAGATGGGCCAAGACTGCCATAAGGCTGCCCAACAAAGCTCCCGAGAAGCCCCCAAAGGCCCCCAAGGAGTCTCATCCGCCTCCGCCTCCTCCTCCTCCTCATCCTCCTCCCCATCCTCCGTCCCCGCCATTTTTCCAAAAGTGTTCCCCGAAGGGTTGCCACAACGGTTGGGGGAACACATGGTCCGAAAGCTTGGCAGAGCTCGTGCCACAGCGCTCGGCCACATGGGCAATTCTAAAAGGCAGGGGACCGCGGTGATTCTCCGAAGACAGCTTGGATACGATGTACACGCACAAGTAAAACAATCAACCTCTCAGATCGGAGAGGGCTGATTCCAGCCAGGTAGCCTGAGACAACTGGAAATAAACACCGCACGACCCAGCATATTGTTTGTGATGTAAGACAGAAAGACATACGTCTGCACTGGTATACAGCGTAAGACAGCAAAACGCACTCTATCGCAGATCAGATATTCGCATACCACCCCCTATCATATCATGACATGATCGCGTTCACTAGCACTGTTTAGCACAGCAAAGCAGACCACGCACAGTGCCAGACCACGGCATGACACTGGATCAGATGGCAGAGTTGAGCACCCCATGACAACACAACCAACCGCATACAATGTCATATCACGATGGTATTCCATACCGTGCCATAAAGTGCCACACTGAACACCACTGCGCAGCAAACGAGGGGCATGCCAATTCTGTGCATATCATGGTACACCCTTGTACATCGGAGCATGGCCTATCATCCCATTGTATGTCATCGTAAGGCATAGCACAGCGCAGCATGCGGTAGCATCACACGCGGTGCAGATAGCGCAGCATCGCAGGTCACACCACAGTGTAATAGACTGCATCGCGGGGTGCGTGTGTTCCCCCAGATCGGTGCTCGCAGCCAGGGTTCTCGCTTCCCTTCCAGACAAACTGGATGGGCAGAGCCCTCCTGGATGGGGTCGGAGTAGATGGGGTCAGAGGATCGCGCCGCATCGGCGATACATCGGCAACGCATCGGCGAAGTACCGGCGATGTATCGCCGACGTGGGCGAGGCATCGGCAGCGTCGACGTGAAGCATATCGGGCGCCGCATCGCCGATGCATCGGCGATGCGGCGCGATCCTCCGACCCCATCTAGGAAGAAGCCTAGAATGGGTCTGCCGAAATGCACCTCGGTGCCCGCCAGGGGGCGCCACCGCGGAAGCCTCGTGCGCGGGGCGGGCGCGCCGGAGCTTCGCCAGGTGCCCGCGCGAAAGGGCGCCGCGCCGCGTGGGCCTGCAGCACAGCTCACACCACACGGCCTGCAACCGCACAGCTGGCACCAGCACAGCTTGCGCACCGCTGGTGCCGCGCAGCCGGCACCACGTAGCCTACATCGCACCCTGCGGCACCGCATACCCTGCACCTGCACAGCCTAGCCTCCACCACGCTGCTTGCACCACGCTGTTTGCGCCGCGCTGCTTGCACGTCGTATATATATATATATATATATATATATATATATTCCATTCTGGAGAGAGGTAGGTTCTAACCCCCCTGGGGTTAAATATCCACCTTTTCGTATTGCATCTTACATATGTTATTGCCCCATCGTCCATCCTCAATATGAATATACACCATCCCGAGGGGGCCCGTATCGCCCCCCCCCGCCATCCTCTGCAACATATCCTATGCGAGCGCATTCGCTTATCACAAATCATAAGTTTTCAAAAACCCCTTCCGAACAAAAAACGAAGTGCACAAGCGCGCGTCGTCGCGCGCGCATGCCAACATCCTTCAAATATCATCGGTGTCGGAAGGATTTCCAAATCGAGTGTCCAAGGAAAATATAAAACATCACCAGGTTTCGCAACACGGACTCTCAACAAACAATTGCGCGCGCGCTCTTGCGAATTTTCCGGGAAATGCGTGGTTTTGCTTCAACATTTTCATAACATGCTACCAACCGGGCTTCGCGCGCGCATGCCGACATCGTTCGAAAGCCTTTTTACGCGCGTGCCGTCGCGGGAACGCCATGCACACTCGCGCGTCATCGCGCACGCATGCCAGAATCCTGAAAGACCTTCAGTCTAGGAAGGATTTCAAAATCGTCGGTCCCAAAAAAACACGGTTTCGCAACACAGATTTGTTTTACAACAAATATCTATATATATATATATATGTACACCCATATTCATGTAAGATGTAGATAATTGAAAACATAAACATATAAGAACAGCATAGGGGGACAACGCGTGCGCTCTTTCTCTCTCTCTCTCTCTCTTGCGAATTGTTCAGAAAAGTCGATTTGCAACCTTTTCACAACATGTTACCAAACGGGCTTCGCGCGCGCATGTCGGCATCGTTCGAACGCCCTTGCGCGCGTGTTAGGGTGGCACGATCCGTGCCGAATGATATCATGCGAGCCACTCTCGCGAGTTTCTGCCGCGCGTGCACTTCGAATTCCCTCCAAAACCTTTATCGTCGACGCGAAGACGCCGTCATCGTCGTCGGCGTGATCAACATCGGCGCCGTCACTGGCTGCCCCGTCGTCGCTGTCAGCATCGTCGCCAGCATCGCTACTATCATCATCGTGTCTGCCGTCGTCGACGTTGCCATGATACCGCGCCCGCCCAAGTCGCCGACTCGCACTGAGGTGCCCGCTAAAGTGCCGAGCGGTAAGCGCCACCGCGTCCGCGCCGGTCACACCAAACTAGCTGACCGCTGCGCGCGCGAGCATCCGCGGGCTAGCGCGGCCGCGGACATGCGCCAGTCAACACCCCCCACTCATCGCAATCGCTCCCGCATGGGTTTTGCAAACCAAGTTGCGCGTGGGTGGGTGGGATGATCGCGCGAGACCTGGAGTTGACAACTTCAAGTTCGGCAGGTGACTTGCACCACATAGATTTCGCCACATAACTTTCACAACGTAGCTTGCAACGCATAGCCTACACATCCCCAACGCAATCCTGACGACTCTAGGGTGTAGGAAGGAGGGAGGAGGACCCTCCGTCATCGCCTTCCCTCGTCCCCCACCTCGAGCGAGAATGGCAAGGAATTCCGCGGCTTCACGCCGTTCCTCCGCCTCCCCCCCCCCCCCCCCAATGGCCCACAAGCGCGCAGACCTCCACCCGCACTGGAGGGGAAGGGGGGGTGGGGCGGGAGGGGAGGGGGGCGCGCCTGGCGCCGACAGTCGTCATCGTCGTCACCTTCCCATTTCCGCGGGAACGACGAGCAGGCGGGGCGGCGCCTTCAGCTCATATCTCCTGTGGATGGTCTGCAGCGGCGCGCTGAACTTGAGCGCCCCAGGGTGCGTGGCGTCGGCGGCAAGCTGGACGGTGGACAGCACAGCGCCGTTGTCGTCGAGGGAGGCGCAGTCGAGGTCCGCCCCGCAGTCGAAAATGGTCGGCGCCACCGCCGTAGAGTTCACCGAAGGGAGGAAGCGAGACCGCTGAGTCTCAGCTCAGCCAGGGGATAAGAAGACATGGGTTCTGTTGTTCCCACCCGGTTCAAAGGCTACACACCAAAAATAAGTTCGAGCACCCCGGGAAGTATCGAAACGATGTCTGCCCGACACGCTGACGAAGTACCGAAAAAGTGTCGACTGCCAAGGCCCGACATGTGAAGACCCTCCAGGTTCGGTTTTTGTTTCGTGCTCGAAATTCTTTCTGGTGGTCTAAGCTAAAGGATCGGGGGCGGCCAAGAGGGGGGCGTCCAAGAGGGGAGGGCGCAGATCCTGGCCAGCGGCATGTGCGCGACCCGGGGGGGTGGGCGGGGACGTAATGAAATGAGAAGATTCTCCATGAAATCTGGGTATCATGGCCCACGCCATGATATCCAGCCCCCCTTGCCCCCCCCCCCCCGAAAGTAGGCTGGAACATCAGAGGACCTGGGCAGGGCCTGGGCCACTCTGCCTCGCGTTCCGAGCTGCCTCGGCAGCGCGGTGACCTTCGCCTCTCTCGGGCCAAGGACGGCCACATGTCCCCAGGCCCGGGCCGCGGGGCACCAAGCTTGCAAAAACATCGCGCCACTGTTATCTGGAAGGCACCTCCTCCTCCTCCTCCTCCTCCTCCTCCTCCTCCTCCTCCTCCTCCTCCTGGGGCTGTCTGCAAGAAGCGGGGCCCTTAACTTGCGAGTGTCGTGTGCACGGCATGTGATTATGCCTCCAGCGAAGAGTCCCTGTCCGCTAAGGTCTCGCAGGGGATGCAGGCCCCCCCCCTACCCAATACCCATGGCTGTGCGGACACAACACTTCCAGTGGGGGCGCGCATGCGTTCAGTCCACCCTCGCCAGTGCTGGCTACCGA